TGTACTTCGTTTGCACACACAGTTCAGGCTTCAGCTTGGCAATGATTATGTACACTGCCTCCAGCACAGCAAGGTGAGAATTGTTGCACGCACGCGCTTCAATAGCGAAGTGAGAATGAGTGCCATGTTTGCAGACTGCACTTAGGCAGGCCGGTGACGATGTCAGGCGACGGAGTATCGCCGAGGCCTTCTCATCATCGTCAGTGTCGGGTGGTCCATTCGTGCGGTTGCTATTATGCAGGACAGTTGTGCGGCTGGCGACTTCTTTTTGTATTCGACTTGAAAAGTGATGGTACGAATAGAAAGGTCTAGTTGAAACTACTAGTTACCTTGTCTTTAATAACCCTTTCTCTCTGCAGCTAACGCTAGGCCAAATGACACCTTTTGTCAAGCTTTGCCACCTGATTCCACAAGAACATCACTATCTGTGTATTGTTGCGTGTGTGGGCAGGCGTGTGTTTACCGCCATATTGCCAGGTGTGTCTTTACCACCATATTTATCAACCATAAGTACAGCTGCAGTGGTGTCTTCGACTTTAATACACAGATAAATGTGAAAAAGAGAAGAAACACATGAGAACGAGTTATGCAGCAACTATCCACGACTGTAACAAGATGGTAAACGGTCAGAAAGTGCGATAATAGGGCACACAACTGACAGGCTACTGAGACATTCAGCGACCCGAGACCTAGCTCTAACACATCTCCAGTGCGCAAATCAACAGCCTTCCAACTAATACTTGGAAGGTTCATGGTTACGTAGGACCGAATAGGGGAAGGTGAGCGCAGCGAAAATGTGCACAAGCTAAGTCCCCCCCGCCGCGGCAACAACGAATACCGACTGCTGTGTGTTCTCTTTTGTACATGTTATTACTGGCTCAGTCACATCCGAGTTTAAATACACAGATAACTAACACTTTCGGAACACACTCTATATCGCGCTACATACATGTATCATATTATAAATGGTAATTTTATGCTGGGCTTGCCACATTCATGGTACATGTACATAGCAGGACGCTCAGTGCAGGGTCAGGGCAGGGTCAGTGCAGGGTCAGTGCAGGGTCAGGGCAGGGTCAGGGCAGGGTCAGTGCAGGGTCAGTGCAGGGTCAGGGCAGGGTCAGTGCAGGGTCAGTGCAGGGTCAGGGCAGGGTCAGTGCAGGGTCAGTGCCAATTTTCGTCTGATTATCGATTAACTTAAGTTCGTGAAACTCGGAGTTACGAAACCGCAACTGCTCGTTCTGCTGCCTGTGAGTGTACCTTGTCTTTATGAATTAAACTTGTTCTCTCTCTCTCTCCCTCTCATGGTGGAGCTCCTTTTTTAACGTGGTCTAGTTATCAAGAAAAGTAAAATAACAAAGTCTGTTCAGTGTCTGTCCCGTTGTGAACCATGACGGTACACTTGTGCACAATGTCATGTACGTGTTCAACTTACTTATTGCCGAATATTGGTCCACATGCAGATGAGCGGGGTATGGGGACTATGATTACTATGAGTTCTAGCAAGATACAGTACATCATGGGAGTTTGGACCTTTGTAAGGATAGGCAAACTCCATGGCAGCCAATAACATATCACACGTAATTGGAACTACATGTATGATGGACTCTTGTTTCTAGGTCTGCTAGGCCACTACAATACAGATTCTTGAGTATACGTAGGTCGTTAGAAGAATATATCCTCCACTGGCTCCAGTCCCGGTCCCAGTGCAAATGAATTCAGGACCTGGCTCGTTTTGCCATCAGCATGAACTGTCACAGTGTGGTACACGATGGATGGGTCATTGCAATCGTACGTACGAATCAAGTCCAAAGTCCTTAGCAGCGTCAAAACTAATGCTCCATTCCCAGTATTCTAATTGTTACTCAAGTAAAGTTAGTTCAAGAATATTGGATATAATGTATCAGTGCTGTATCATGTCATGGTACAGCATGGTGTGATAAAAGTAGGTACTATGACGTACATGTACAATGAGACTTCGCTTATAACGACACTCGGCGGGGAATCAGAAAAGTGTCCTTATTCGCGAAGTGTCGTTATACCCGAAGTCTCATTGTATTGTATTCCAGTTGGATGGGACTTTGCTCTGGGCATGGAAATTCTGTCGTTATTCGCGAATTGTCGTTATATCCGCAGTCGTTATTAGCGAAGTCGACTGTAGACCTCAGGAGTCAGTATCTGCATGACTTGTATGACAATGTTATCTTCAATATAACAGCTTCCAGTTCAAGCTTGCTTAATTCATGTCCAAGGCTACACAATCTCTCTTTCCACCTTGCTAGTACAAAGCCGGTGATGGACCTTTGAAGTCCATGTGCATGGCTCCGATAGCCTGGCTTAGCACTTCATGACGTCGTAGGAGAGAACATTCACATTCGTGCATGTATTAATGGTTTTGGCATAACTCTCCTTGCTAGACTAAGGAGAGTTGTTGAGGGATCGACGAGAAGAAACCCATAGTGCCATACTGTTGCTCTGTATCCTAAAGTTGAAGCCTCTGGGATACGTGGTAGCAGGCAGTGAGTGAGTGTTAGAACTGAGAAGTACATGTAGGCTGTAGTACGACTAAAACTAACTTGGAAATACAGAGTAGGATTCTGTTCTGCAAACGTTTTAAACTGCTTGAAGATGCATTGGTGGCTAACGTTAATGGATATCACGTGACCGTACATGGCTAGAGACACATACACATGGACAACATCATTCTGGTCTAATCAGTACACGGTGATACAGGGCGTACAGTCGACTAGTCGTGCACTGCAAGGCAGGGGTGACAACGAAACCGACGGACCTCAGCTCAGGGTCGGGGCAGTCACTCCTCCCTCTTCGCCACGCTTCAGCGTACATGTATGAACAGTGTAGATCAGACTACTATGCACCCATGCACCCATCATACTCTCAAACTCATGTACATGTATGTGTACAAGTGGATGTGTGTTATGCATAATGGGGATTGTGGTTTGTACAAGTAGTGGAACAATTCTGGATCTGCTACCGGTACACAGGTTAGGCTGAGGACGATACATTCTTTCAATTTAAAATTATTTTTGACAGAATTGTCCATGCGCATGCTTTAGTTTTAGTTTCACTTCCATCTTCTGTGTGTGTACGCGCGCTCTGCGTGTACGCGCATGGATGTACAGGAGTGTGAACGATTCCCACGCACTGTATTGCCACGCTGTATTTCCAATGTAACTTAGCAGTCGAGTGCACACGGACCGTGTTAGATCGTGTTGCGCGGTGCAGACGACTGACCCAGGGTAAGTGAGGAGTTGAAGGTCGTTAGGAAGTTGGGACGTGGCGTATTATCACTGTACGTACATTCTCCACGCTCAAGCAAAGAAAAGATCAGCAATCACTAAATCAGGTCGAGCAATGACGATTGAGCAGGTGTGCAATGTGTGCAGTGACTGCGATTCTAGCCAGGGACACAGGCAGGCACGTTACAGGTCAGCAGACGAGTTCATGAGGCTCTTCATCGACTGTCGGCTACATAGTCGCATTTCCGTGCCTGAGACACTATACTATGCGTGCTATGAGACAGCAGGACTGGTGCCACTCACAGGGAGTCTGGGAAGCAGGCTGGGTGAAAACTGGGGAGCTTACGACAAGCACGTCACGGCCACAGAGGACAGGAACTGGAGCAGTCGAGATCACCATGATCACTGGTAACTAATACTTGCACTTTCGCTTCGTTCCTTTCGTCAGACAGAAGGACACCTCGATGGAGCTAGCGTGCTAGTACATAATCATTGTAGGTCCACGAGTATCATCAGGTCAACGACCTGGTCAGTTTCACACCCGCCGCCGATGATCCAGGTTATGTAGCTGTGTGATATGCTGGCACTGGGATTACTGAGAGCACTGCTATTCGCACACATAACCCGTAGTACTTCATACTCCCCAGTTACAGTCAGAACTGTACATCTCTGACACACTGGAACAGTGGAAGCGGCATCCCGGTCGCAAGTCCATATCCCAGTGCATTGTAGTGGCAAGAACGATTGTGATAGCTGAGTTGTGAAGAGAACGACCATTTTGTGACTTGCAACCGCTTCCGTCGACGCGTCCTGTCTTGTTGCTGCTCAAGCCTAGCGGTCGGAAGTTGAAAGCGAAGCTGAAAGTACCGCTAAGATCTTAGCACAGACCCTGGAGAGAGTGAGAGAGATTGTACTTCCTCTACACCGATGGGAATCTACCGATTAGGATCGAACAAGTGAAAACAGAGCGATTGCGGAGGAGGGCGATTGTCATCCAGTGCAAGAAGTGTGTGACAGTGTGAAGAGGTGGAGAGGTGATAACAATGTTGCTGAGTACCAGCGTGCCATTTCACCGCAGAACAGGTGAGTGTTTGAATGATGGCGGATAACGCTGTGTCAGACAGTCTTGACTTAGGCGCTACATGTAGGCGTGCATTGATAGCGGTAACTCTGTCCCCTAGCCCTGTCCACGTTGACACACTTTCACTGCCGTCAAATTTTGAACCCCACACCTGTGAGTTTGAGAAATGCAAATGCTGAGTATACAATATCCAGTGCGCGTAATCTTACTGCAATCCTGAGCCAGTCGCTAAGATTGGCGAACAGACAGACTACATACGGTACGGGACGATGATCACAATATGTAGGAGAGGATGAATAATTCGTTTCAACTCCGAGTTTCACGCACGAGGCGATCATCAAGCAATAGTATTATGAGATAATTCTGGATGCTGCTTTCCTTCCTTCCTTCGCCCACTGCAACGGTTGGCTATGTGTCCCCAAACGGGACGGCGACTTGAAGGAGTGCTGTCTTCGGGACGCGGCATGAGGCCCTGAGAGTCCGGCGGAACGTGAACGGCTATTTCACTGTTTGTTTTTTTTGCTTTTGCGGAGCGACAGGAGGTGCAACTATGTCTAGCGATGTCTTGAGCCAAAGTTGAGGACGGCTGAAACGCCGTGTGCAGACCATACACAGGAGTGTCAGGAGTGGTTTCACGGCAGGTGGTTGTATATCTACAGGAGAGCACACCACGCTGTAGTGTAGACTCCATCCTGACACCTGGTTCTCCTCAAATGCTGCTTTATACCCACAAAGTGCGAGTAAAGGTGTGAACCACAGCAGCGTACTACATTATAGCGTGATTGATACTTCAAGTGATAAGCATAGTACATTATAGCAATAAAAACTGCTTCATGGCAGTTTTCTAAAAAAAGTTATTGTGTTCTAGTCCATGGCCCCCGTCTAAAAAGTAAGAAATTAACGAAATGTGATAGCCGAAAATTAAAATTTCACACAAAACCTCACAATAATCACAACACTTGAAATGCTGCTTTCAACACGAAACTTGTACTGCACCAACAATTGGCAACATGCAGTCATGCATGCATAGGAAAGAGGATCACGAGGGGAAAAGGTCTTCTACATGTAGCTTTTCATTCTGTGTGTGATTATTGTGAGGTTTTGTGTGAAATTTTAATTTTCGGCTATCACATTTCGTTAATTTCTTACTTTTTAGACGGGGGCCATGGACTAGAACACAATAACTTTTTTTAGAAAACTGCCATGAAGCAGTTTTTATTGCTATAATTTCTTTTGTTTTTTTCTGTCAGTGTCACCAATCAATGGAATGCCCTATATCTATTCAAAATTTAATAATAATAATAAATGATGGCCTTCACATCATATCAATACCGTATTATACGCAGTGATGTGCAAGCCTTTTCTTGTAGAAAATGGCACTAGCATGTTCTGCTGCGAGGAAACATGTGAATAGTGGTGGACCGTGGTTATACTTTTTTTATACGGAGGTCATTCTGTGCATGACTGCATGTTGCTGTAGCAGAATTTCATTTATTTAAGATTTCCCCACCCTCGATCAGATTAATTTGAGAAATGTAACCAGGTGCGTGTCGCAGATGTTTTTGTTGATTCTGTGTGTATAATGGTTTATAATAACGGGTTATCGTGATAAGGTCATCCTGCATCATATTGCACTGAAATCGTAATCCTGTTGATGTCGATACAACTTTTGGAAGTAGTTCAATGACTTCAAACTGTTAGTCCACGATTTTCTAAAACAACACAGCAAAGGAGGAACAATAAACATGTATTAAAATGTGAACAAATACATTGTCGAGTCCGACACCTCGTTCCAACAACTACACTGATCCTGAGGATAAAAGGGGCAAGGCTATGGTTGGAGGTACTGAGAAATAACAAGGCACTACATAATAATAAAATCTTACACATCTTTTGGTGAGCATGAATGATATCCAGTCGAACCTCTTTAGGACGAACACCAAGGGACCGATGGTATTTATTCTGTGAGTTTGTCTTAACCTATTTTATAACCAGTGAATACAATTATTTCTCCAATAGACATAAACAGTTTCCTCTGAGACAAAAATGCGATAATACTCATAAAAAGGACACACTTCAGGCTCATTACAAACATCTTGAAAGTTTTCGTCTTCACAAGTATACTTTCAAGCCTTCTCATCAGGTGAAATACAGGCAAGGGAAAAGGAACAGGAACAGTGGATTAAATACAGTAAGAAGGTGGTAAAACAGCGCAAAAAGAAAGAAAGAAAGAAAGAAGATAGCTAAAGTAAACAGCGAAAATTGCAATAATGACACAAAGGTGCAAATGCGAGAAAACTCAATAAGCGCGACATGTAGTGCGACAACAAGAGACAACCACTGGACATACATGTAACTAACGAGGTTTTGACGACCTACCTAACAGCCTAAGTGTGAATTTGATTTGTTTCTGCTTGCAAAGGTTGGGTTTCCTTGTGTGGATGTATACAGCTTCCAAAACATTCAGCAATCTAGCACAGCGTACACGTGACACAATCGAAAAACAATCATCCGAATACACAGCACGACAATCAGGATGCTCAAACAAATGACTAGCAATGGACGACTCATACTTATCAGAACTAACATCAGAACAATCAGCATGTGCGGTGGACACATCCGATTTCACATGGCTAGTCGAGTGGACCCTAGCCGTTGCCTCTGTCTGTGCTTTAGTCGCTGCCATCGCCGCCGTTGCCGATCTTGTTATTCTTCTTAGGCTGTTAGGTAGGTCGTCAAAACCTCGTTAGTTACATGTATGTCCAGTGGTTGTCTCTTGTTGTCGCACTACATGTCGCGCTTATTGAGTTTTCTCGCATTTGCACCTTTGTGTCATTATTGCAATTTTCGCTGTTTACTTTAGCTATCTTCTTTCTTTCTTTCTTTCTTTTTGCGCTGTTTTACCACCTTCTTACTGTATTTAATCCACTGTTCCTGTTCCTTTTCCCTTGCCTGTATTTCACCTGATGAGAAGGCTTGAAAGTATACTTGTGAAGACGAAAACTTTCAAGATGTTTGTAATGAGCCTGAAGTGTGTCCTTTTTATGAGTATTATCCCAATAGACATACGAATAGATTTCTTCTACAGCGAAAGATTTTAAGCCACAACAACTCATTGACTCGTCTCGTATGAAACAAATGAGTCACTAGAGAGGTTTTGCAAAACGAAAATGCGTACAAACTTTCGTTCTACGTCATGAAGTGCGAAACTTCGCACGAACTTTCTCAACTTTGGACGCGAAACTTGCAGAGAACGCGAAATGAACTGTTGTACACATTTTCGTGAGATCGGGTCATGGCGTACGTGCACTTGGCCCGCGCAAACCACGAACATGTGCAGAACGCAAAGTTTGTGCAAAAATTCGTACACACTTTCGCAAGGACTGTCGCGAAACTTCGTTCGAATTTTCGTTTTGCAGAACCTCTCTACTGAACCCTTCTTTAGCAACATGAGGGCAACTGAAACAACATCAGAGAAAGTACGATACATGTACAGCACATTCTTCCAGGCACTACAAACAGATTGCAGATCGTAATTCTTGCTTTTGGCGGCACGAAACTTTATTTTGGGCAGTGCAATCTCGGCGGTACTCACAAATAATAAATCAAACAGCCCAGACTCGAGTAAACAAATCCAGTCATACAAGTACGATATCTTCACGAGATGAGACTGCACCCATTGGCTTGTTTCGTATGAAACAAACAAGTCTACTGAACCTCTCCACAATGGAGATTTTCCCTGATACGCGAATTTATTTTGCAAACTCGGTCAATGGGTCCTTGAACCTTTCCCTCCAGATCGGGAACTGCCAACGATAGTATGACCAGTGCCTTACTTGTAACATACCAATGTACATGTACAATGAATGTGAGAATTTCGACAACACATCTAACATAAGCCTTACCATCAAGAAGGTGAACTCGCGTTCTTCGCACACTGTAGACAAGGGCAAAGAGATAAAAATGGATCTAAATCCAAATAAAATCAGCACACGTTTCCGTACATGAAAGGGTGAGCATAAGCAAAATTAATGAATCGAAGGAAATCGGTCAACTCAGAGATCACCTGTCATCGAGTATTCCGTAAAAGGAGACCTCGGCAGCGGAAAAAGCTAAATTTAGAAAAGAGATCCTGTCAGCTTTTCCATTATTTATTGCATTCCGCCCAAAATCAGCACACTTTTCGTAAATGAAAGAGTCAACACAAGCAAATGAATCAAAGGAAACTGGTCAACTCACCTGTCATTGAGTAATATTCCGCGAAAGGAGGTCTCAGCAGCGCCGAAACGAAATAAGCCAGGCCAGGAGACGAAATATCCGAAACAGCTCATACAAGAAGCAGTTCCAAAGGAGGAAGTTCCTCGCGCATGCACATCCGAACACGGACTGCACTGCAAGCATGCAACACAATGTCTGCCGTGCACGTGCACAGCACGCGGCTACCACCCGTTGGTAGATCTAATACCGAGCACCTTACGTAGAGACTTACGTAGCCTAAGTGAAATACCGAGCACCTTACGTAGAAACTTACGTAGCATAGCGGTGTCGTTTTTCTTGCCATGTGAACACAATAATAGAAAAGCTGACGGGATCGCTTTTCTAAATGTACTGTAGCTTGCTGCGTGGACAGCCTGGAACCGTTCTGTTTCAAAATGATCCCATGATCTACGGGGAAATGTCCCAAGAGCAACTGACAGTGACAGTCCCCAACACGACTGACCCAGTGGAACCAGGGACCTTCATTAGACCTGTTTTATGAGGATGCCACCAGTTTGAATAATTGCACTGGAAAAATTCCTGCAGCAGATAAACATCCAAAACCAGAACCGGGGCTGCATGCAATAATACACTATGATAATGGCTTATAGGCATATTCTGTAGGTAATGTCATGGCAGCAGTTGCAGAATCATCTCAGTATTGGCCTGTTCAAGCTATGGTATGTTGGCAAACAAGGTCTCTTCTCCGACACGTGCAACAGGGAAGAGATGTCTAGAGTATTCGAACCAGGTCCATTTGAATCTGGTTTGCTTGTTGGGAAGCATATGGGTGCAGCAAATGGGATTTTCGGTCTTTGACCACTTTGTGGTGGGTGTGATCTACTCACCTCCCACCACTTTAGGAGCTGCATCTGCGCCTTGATCCACAGCTGGATGGTGGTAGTGTCCCCACGGGTGCGGAAAACTCGACCTACAGCCGAGTCAAATGCGAACCGTGAATTCTGTTTGCTTGTTTCTATGTCTATTCACTGTATTCAGTCACCACCTTAGCTGCCATTCTGCTGGCATGCTGCTGTATTAATCCACAACCATGTCATGCGACTAAGAACGAGGTACGCCAGATCAAAATCACCACGTCCGTTGGTCCAAGTCCCCTGTATCCGACTCCCGACCTGCCATGGAATGTGGTGCAGCGAGGCCAGCAGGTCAATGTCACGTGCACAGACGCGACTGCACCTCCCGCACAGCCCATCACACTGCAGCAGAATCACATTGCGCTGACCAAGCGGCTGCAGAGTGTACGCGGTGCCATGACAACTATACACAAACATGGTGTCACCCAGGTAAGCTATACGCCATACACCATGATACACTGGGTGTGGAAATGAACTGTTACTTCTGAAATTTGACCTTTAAAGGGGAAGTATACCCTAAAATCAAATTTTCACCAGTTGTAGTCTTCTGGGTGCTGAGTCGAATGGTCTTGGTCCGAGGAAGCTGCGACGCTCCCTTCCTACTTGAATCCCAATCGAACTCGCGCACTTCCACCGAAACTGGGTGACTGCGCCCTACGAGATGGGGATTTGTATGCAAAATGTCACTAAAAGCGCCATTTCGTTCTTATAAAAGCACGGATGACCGCGATTGGCCCATATGTTGTAGTCTTTTGGACGCTGAGTCGACTGGTTTTGGTCCGAAAAGGCTGCGATGCAGCGTTCCTCCTTTATTCCCAATCGAACATGGTTGAAGAAGTGGTCACGTGCTCCTGGGTGCCCAAATCACCTGGTCACCGCGCCAGCAGGCGACAACTTTCACACCAAGGTTCAACTCGAGTTCAACTCGAGTGACAGGACTGCACCCAAAAAAGGTCAAACAGGCTAGTAAGTTGTACCCTGCAGGCACGGTGACCAGCTGACTGGTGTACGCAGGAGCACGTGACCGCTTGTTCAACCATGTTCGATTGGGAATAAAGGAAGAACGCTGCATCGCAGCCTTTTCGGACCAAAACCAGTCGACTCAGCGTCCAAAAGACTACAACATATGGACCAATCGCGGTCATCCGTGCTTTTATAAGAACGAAATGGCGCTTTTAGTGACATTTTGCATACAAATCCCCATCTAGTAGGGCGCAGTCACCCAGTTTCGGTGGAAGTGCGCGAGTTCGATTGGGATTCAAGTAGGAAGGGAGCGTCGCAGCTTCCTCGGACCAAGACCATTCGACTCAGCACCCAGAAGACTACAACTGGTGAAAATTTGATTTTAGGGTATACTTCCCCTTTAATACTTGTACTAGAATATCTTTTTCATTTTGTTTTGCCGGACCCACTATCGCACACACATGCTCACAGTCAATTCTGCCGTTGTGAGTCCCATTCAGGACCGGTACAAGAATAATAATTACATGTATGCGTAGAAAGTTGGTGGGATACCGAGTGTCAAAAGCTACTGTTGATACTGCTTGCTTGCGTTGCTACTGTTGCCGTATGGTAAATATTCAGTAGGTGGAATGCTAGTATTTTTGAAATACATGTGCATTTAACTCGGGTGAGCAACGCAAAGCACATGCATAGTCTATCCTTCCATGCAAGCCCGGGGTGTGACTTGAAAGACAAGTAATCCAGCACTGCAAGCTGTCGGTGATAAATATATTCTCGCGCACCCTGAGGATTGCAAGTCCACACGTTAAGCGTTTTGCATGTGGCGTGACACCCACTCTTATCTTCACCACCAACCATTTAGCGCCGTGCATCACCCAAAGACACTCATTACTAGTTGGCTGATGATAGCTTCAGCATGAATCTTCAAATTTTAAACTCATTCCAATTGAACTTCTCCTCTTCATAATTATGTGTTTCCATGCAAAGACTCAGCCAAGCCTTTAATGCAGTAGGAACTCCTAACGTACATGAATTCTCATTACATACATAAACTAAACTGGTGGTGATGATTCTAGTTTTCACAATGAGACAGTGCATTTGTACTATAATGCACTGCCATGATGTGTATCTACGGTATGTACGACCTCTATGTGTTATCTCTGTGCAGATCACCATATCAAGTTTTGATGAGGAGAACGAAGGTGACTACTCGTGTCTATATCAAACCTTCACCAAAGAAGTCACTAGCCAATCCATTCCACTGCTTATGGCGCGTGAGTAGAGGCAACTATATTATACAGTACACAATCGTTTCTCGATCATGACGCGGCACAGACTGCCCTGTAGCCATTACACAGTCATGTGCAATGTATTGCGTAACAGTAAACTGGTGCATTCCAAGGGGCGGCCGTGGCATGCCTTCGTGGGCATCGCCACAAGTCGAGCAGGTATGACCCTCATGCATATTCTGCCACACTTGCTGTCTCCGAGTGTCATCTGTAGACAACCTGTCTGTTTCCCCTTTTCTCTGTATCATTTTGTATGTTATAATTTCCGCGGATTCCAGTTTTTCTCCCTTCATTATAATTTAAGCGCAGTTTAGCGCGTATTGGCTTATGATTTCTTTTTCTTCTGTTTGTATTTAGCGCTTGACCGGTTATTATTTTCCTTCTCTTTATTTTGCGCTACATATTATTATTTTTCTGGTATTATAAACTTTGGCCGTGGAAAAAAAATTCCAAGGGGTAACCAGCAGCTTTTGGTCTGTTTATCAATAAAGGCGTTTGGTGGAGGTGGGATTACTTTATTGGTGTGTTCCAAACCTTGAAAACCCCGAACCAGCACCAGCCTAAGTGGTCTCTTTGCTGCTGCTGAGGATGATAGCTGCTGCATGGCCGAAAGCATGATTGAGAGATGTAATTGTGCAGCAAAGAGATCACTTGCATTGGTGCTGGAGCAGTCTTATGAAAGGGCTGCAGTGGAGCTTGCGTGCCATGTGTTGCCGTGTGAAACGTGTTGCCGAATGGTGTATTCCTGGTGTCATTGCTGCTGCGGGCTAGCAGCAAATGTGACCAGAGGTGCATGTGAGCGGGTTTTTTTCCATGTTAGGGGTGGAGTGGGGTCAACTGCAATAAGAATAATGATCCAGGTCTCGTTAGTTGACCGTGATGCTAGAGTATGCAACTCAATTTAACCATCCCGTGGTGTGATGTTGTGTGATGTTGTGTGATGTTGTGTGATGTTGTGTGATGTTGTGTGGCATGTGGCTTGGTGTACTACAGGTGGTCCTTCTGTGACCGTACCAGCAATCACCAGGACAAGCATCTCACAACCAGTTGAGCTGGTGTGCAGTGCGACCGGAGTGCCACCGCCGCGGGTTCAGATTGTAGTCTTGACTACCGGACGGACGCTGGCCAATCAGAGCCAGGCTGTCACGGGCGACCTGCAGCATGGCCGCCAGGCGACTGTAGCCACGTGGCGGGAGGAGTACGCCACTCTAAGTGCAGACGGGCAGTACGCATGTCTTGCTACTAATGCTGTCGGCCAGCAGAGACAAGAGGCAAACATCACCGTACAGTGTAAGTGAAGTAACTACATCATCTGTAAATACGATGGCGTAATCATCTCCATAATGTACTTGAAACGGACCGGTTTAACATTGCAGTGATTGCACCCTGAAAAGGCTTCACATGACCCAACATACAGAGTCGACATCTAAAAAAAACCGAATATTATAAATGGCTTGAAAGTACATGTACAGTCGTGGAAATTTTCAAAACGTTGTTTCGGAGCAAAAGTGTTTCCTTTTTCGAAGTGTTCTACCAAATAGCGAATGTTCCAATTGTGATTTTAGTGACTAAATCTAGCCAGAACTGGTTTTAAAAGACTCGGTTCTGCCAGGCTATGTTCTGCATTGAGTGCAAACCGGCTGTACCCCCCCCCCCCCCCCTCTCCATCTCTCCTGTTCTGGTCATATCTCAACTGTAGTTTTGTGCAAAAGGTTTTCAACTTCCATTGGCTGTATTCCGCTGTCGTTTTGTGCAAATGCTTTATTTATTTATTTCACTTTCCCGTGGCCAGGGAATAGAGGCCACTATGGAAGGAGGGGGCGACAGCCAGACGTGGCAGTAGGTGAAAAAGTCCAAAATGACAAATTGCAAGAGGCAATGACCTACACAGGGAGAGGCAATTTCCATTGTATGTAGCTTGGATGAAGAATGTCTGTCCATTGTGTCCAATCTTGTGTGCTATGCACTGTAGACCCGGCCATTGTTCAAAGTCTCCAGCGATCCCCGGTGGAACATCCCGTGTCCGGACTGGACACCTTGGTACTCAGCTGCACGGCACAGGGAAATCCCCTACCGTCAGTGTCATGGTCGCTGAACCAGACTGACTACCCAGCTTTCCATAGTGCCGCCGCGGCCGTCGGCAATGCGGCCCTGCGCGAGAACGCCAGCGTTGAGACGAGCGTCGCTAGCGATGATCACATGATCACCAGCACACTCACCATTCGTACACCGTTGCTTAGCAACAGTGGTGTGTACCGGTGCCGGGCTAGCAATGTGGCCGGAGGCGGGGAGAGATATCAAAGTATTGTTGTAATCGGTAAGTGTTGGTACATGTACATGTGTACAGTGACATGTGTTTGACTGACACATTATCAGGGCTGTAGCACTCAGTCTGACTGGGCCGTTCATGGCCGGACAGTATTTCGAAAAAGTTGACCTGCTCAATTCATGCAAAACGGGTTTTTCGTCAATCATGTATCCCATTTTGGCCAGACCACCTGAAATTCCTGTGCCACGGGCTTGCTTGCTATTTCACCATGAAAATTGCAGTAGCATGCCGGGGAAGATGATAATGATGACATTGCTTCCAACCCCCACTATACTGCTGTTTTCTTCCATTCTGTTCTGAATCTCTCTCTCTCTCTCTCTCTCTCTCTCTCTCTCTCTCTCTCTCTCTCTCTCTCTCTCTCTCTCTCTCTCTCTCTCTCTCTCTCTCTCTCTCTCTCTCTCTCTCTCTCAGTACCTCCAACTCCGCCGCGTGACTTGACAATAGCACGTACTGGACTGACTGCCGTTACTCTCTCCTGGAATGCACCGAGTTGGTATGGCAACGCGGAGCATGTCCTGTATGAGGTGTCCATATACGTGCACAGTGACATGCTGCAGCAGCCAGTGGGGCAGGACACAGGTGAACGTGGCTCTCTGTACCGAGTGGACAACAGGTCCAATATCCACTTCAAGCCCGGATCATCAGGGTTCGTGTCTGTAATCTCCAACCTGGATGTGAACACACGCTACGGGTTTTTGGTGAGAAGTCGGAACAGAGCCGGCCCTAGCCCGGACAGTGACTACATACAGACACAGACTCTACCTGATGGTAAGGGCCGCTACAGGATTCGTGCTACTGAAGTATGACTGTAAAATAGGGAAGTAGAAATGCAAGTGCCGAAGAAGATTATCGGGTGATTTTTTATTCCTTTTTTTATTTATGTCAACCAGTACCCTACATATGCCAAGTTATGAAGGAATCTAGCTTACATTTGGTGTGCACAACACTGCACATGGCTCAATATTATTTATTGCTACAGTGGTCACAGTGGAAACTCAAATCCAACCCCTGATTTTTGTGCTGGAGTGCAGCACCGATTCTAGCCGTCTCTACTTCGTAATGTTTCAATACTGTGATGGGGTTTTGCATTGTGATCGGATTTCAGTTGCCAGCATTATTTACTCTCCCCAACATGCAGTGTCCAGCCAAAACTGCTACATTTTGGGTTAGTGATGGCTCCCAGAATGTCATGCTAATTCTGATTGTCAATGTTGTTACTGAAGAGCCGGCGGGTCTGGCGCATCATGCCTTCTCACTTGCATTTCTTCTGTTCATGTCTGTTTTCTCTTCACTAGCACCTCCAGCCCCGGTAAATATCACTATCAATGACATCATGTTTACATCATTCAACGTCACGTGGCATGTGAGTACCTCGGCACATTTGAACAGTGGAGGCCATGGGATTGCTTGACTGTTCGTAGACAATCAATTGTCAGGGCGACTGTTTGGGGAAGACAATCTGCCTACTTCGGTACATGTACATTTAGTGCAGGTCCATATGTGCTCATGCCCAATAGGGAGGAAGAGGGAGATATTATAAAAAAATACACATGTATTAATGATAGCTTTGATTTTCCCACGTGCTATTTGCTCCAGATTCCAGCAGTGCTGCAAAGCCAGGGGAAATCATCAGAAATACAATTTGTAGTTCGTATGCGCCAGCGACCTCGGTCTGGCGAGGAAGGACACATGTTCACAGAGGTATGCAAGACCGAAGACTTCGGGTGTGAGGTGTCAGGTCTGCGCAAGGGCATGACGTATCAGATAGTCATGCAGGCATTCAACCGAGGTGGCATGGGTGCACCGAGCTCTATCATACCCGTAGTTACCAAGACAACAGGTAAGGGGCCAGCTTATATTGTTGTTAGACTTGTGACGTCATTGCACATGTATGTGTGACGTCATTGTACATGTATGTGTGACGTCATTGTACATGTATGTGTGACGTCATCGTACATGTATGTGTGACGTCATCGTACAGGTTTGTGTGACGTCATTGTACATGTATGTGTGACGTCATTGTGCATGTATGTGTGACGTCATTGTACATGTATGTGTGACGTCATTGTACATGTATGTGTGACTAGATGCATGGTAAAGATGTGTGGTGTACTCAGTGACTAGATGCATGGTAAACATGTGTGGTGTGTGCACACAGCTTTTTTGTGTCACGACTGCTGCTTAGATCATCATCCTTACAGTAGGTTTTCACTGTAGTGTTGTGAACTTGTAACTTGTGCCGTGATTGCACTGTTAGATCCAGTCACTATGAGACAACATGCATCTGTCATGTGTGTATGTGTGTGTGTGTGTGTGTGTGTGTGTGTGTGTGTGTGTGTGTGTGTGTGTGTGTGTGTGTGTGTGTGTGTGTATGCATGTGTGTGTGCCCACTCCCTTGCTCGTTTGATATCGAACAGCTGAACCTGATCATTATCTGATGAATGTTTCTGTATGTGTGTGTGTATGTACATGGTCATGTGTATGTGTGTATGTGTATGTGTGTATGCAGTGACGTCATCACCTATCTGGCGAGGTGCACGCGTGACTGGCCTAGGGTCGGTACGTCTAATGTGGCAGATGCCAGAAGATACAGGTGGTAGCGAGATTCTCTATTGGAACTTTGCTTATCAGCTGATTGATGACAATGCTAATACTACTGCCACTCAGCAGACCAAGGTAAGCCCGGCCGCTGAGTAGCAGCAGCAGCCAAGTGGAAATGGAAATGGAAATAGAATGTCTAGTGCATTGTTGTCTTAAGGGTCTGTTGTGATTGCCCAAGTGAAAATACCACACAATACAATACAGCCATACATACAGTGCTATTGAGGGCTACCATCGTTACCTTGGTTACCATGGCTGTGCTGAATGATGGGGGCGGGTTCAGTGCATCAATCATGATGTCTCTGTGTTGCATTCATTCTGGAATGTATGCACTCTTGACATGATGTATTCACACACACACACTCATACACGCACGCGCACACATACACATACACACACACACGCACACACCTTTGACCTTTGACCTTTGACGCCCATCGCCGGAGGCGATGATAGCAATGCTACGGCAGAAGCCATAGCAACTTGTGCTGGGATTACACCATTCAACAGCTTGCAAGGCTGAAGAATTGACCGTCACTATTCAGCCTGGTCTACACCATACAGCTATTTGGAGTGACATCTCACGCACACACACACACACACACACACACACACGCACACACACACACACTCATGCATGCACCCCTCATAGACTCCCATGCACCACATGGATGTAGTCTTTGTTGGCTAACCATTAGTTCTTGTTTCTTATGCCTTCTGCTACCTGCTTGCTGCATACCTGCTGCATACTGGCTGCACACTACTAGATCGAAGCCGGTATGCTGTTCTTCCCGGTGGTGGGTTTGAAGGAGACTGAGACCTACCAATTTGACCTGTCAGCTACCAACAGAGCGGGAGAGAGTTTATCATCAGCTCTCTTCTTTACAATGCCACATAGAGGTAGGTGTAACCATTGAAACCATTGTAACCATAATCAAGAGTATATGAAAACCAGAGTGTGCAGCTTGGGGCCTTCTCTGTTATGGGTGTCTGTCACCGCAGAATTCCGTGATTACATCATATTTGGTGCAAATCTGAGGCGGGAAATGGCGTAGTGCGTACAACTGAGCTGCAGTTGTGCAGAAAGAGACCTGCTTGAATCCTGCTTGTACGCACTACATCACCAAAATGATGTAATCACGGAATTCCGCCGTGACAGCAACCCATCCGAGCTGCACACTCTGGTTTTCATGTACTCTTGCCGTCATTGTAACTGTCAAGAATTATGACTCTGAGTGACCGTGGTATGCTACATGGGTGGGGTGTTGCATGTGCTCTGTAGCGCTTTAGGAGCTGCATCTGCGCCTTGATTATTGAGGCTGGTGGTGTCTAAGTCTCCCATGAACCGTGATTTTTATAGGGGGTGGGTTGGGGGGGGGGGGGGAGTATTGCATATGTTCTGTGGGTGATTTGACCTTGTTCTACGTTTTGTGTACTGCTGTGGGTACATCTGAGCCTTCGTGAAGAGATCATCTGTTTGTGAAGAGATCATGCAGTGCAGTGTTTTGTGTACCGTGGTCGGGTGATTGCTGCATTTATAAGCGGCAAAGGTCTGCAACTGTTAAAACTATACAATCATGTACATGTACGATTGTCATTGCTGTAGATGACCCAAGTCAACCTGAGTCAGCGGTAGTTCAACAAACAACCCGACAATCAATACTGCTAACCGTCGCTGATCGAGACACTCTAGTATCATCGACAAAAGAGAAGGTTGCCATGGGGAAAATACCTGGTGACATCACCATTCTAGCTAATGACATCATGCCAAGCACACAGGAACAGGAGTCATACATCATTCGCTATAAGCCCTCGTTCTCCGACAGCTGGAAGTCAATTGAAGTTGTGGATAAATACTCTCCCGTGTGCTTGAATCACCTACACGCTGACACGTCATACGTCATACAAACTGCACTGCAGAAAGATGGAGACATGTCCATATATAGCATCCCAGTCACCGCTCACACTGACCATGAAGGTATGCCGACTGTAATGCATATGTTAGGTCATCATTCATATGGATCAGGTCATGTGACAGCGAGAGAAGCAAACCTAACCTATCTATTGCTAGTACATGTACTTGGTGGTAGGTCAATCAGTCATTGACGTGCTGAATGCTGTGTTTCCTGATCGGTTCCTGGCTTCATAGCACCGTGTTGCACATTGCCATGGCAATCATGCACCATGCGGAGATGTAGACTGTGTCTGGAGTGGTGGGGGCTATGGGGTACTGCCTGTCATGTGACGTGTGAGACTGTGTCTGGAGTGGTGGGGGCTATGGGAGCTATGGGGTACTGGCTGTCATGTGACTTGGATTCTGAGAAGCAGCATTCTCCTCCGCACACATGCTTCGATAGCGTAGACTTTCCTTTGGTGTTATGGGGCCATGGTGATGAAGCCATGTGACTGCATATTCTCTGTTAGAATACTACACGAGTTCTCTCTCTCACCACCGGTGCATTCAAGTGTTGAGTGCCTGCAGTACGTACCTATGAGGCTGCAGCAGTGTATACACCAGTCGATGATAACCATGTCATAGATATTCTGCGCCAATTCCGTTGATGATAACCATGTATATTCTCTGCCGATTCCAATTCACAGATGCTGTGCCGGCTCCTGTTGTCGAGGCGCTCACGCACTCATCCATTGAAGTAGCCTGGCCTATGTGTGGGCCACATTGGGAGCCATTCTCGATACAGCTTCATGAGGTAGTGTTCCGTGATGTCGTTGGTGGAGCAATGCCCTCTGCCTCTATAAGGGATTGGCACAATGCCAGACGCATTCAAACCACCAACCAGCCCGTCGTCATTGACAACCTACGGCCCAGCTCCGTGTATCAAGTGCGACTGGTGGTTCACTACCCCCAGACCGTCCGCTACTCGAAGAACGTCACTGTTGCCATGCCAGCCGAGAGGCCGAGAGACGGTAAGCGTGCTGATCAATTGCCGTGACAACAACATAACCTGACATGGGAAAATTCCTATGGCTCAGTCTGGGCAAGGTCACGGCCTATCAAGTTAGTTAGAGTACACGGGACTTCTGGAAAACAGCTTCAATGCAAAGTCCAGGATTCATTTCTCCATGCGTGCAATAGGCGGCAACAACAGATTGATCAATGCCTGTTTTCTATCTTGCTGCTCGTCTACTCACTCTACCGTGACTCCGACAGACACATCAGGTGGCAGGGGCAAAGATGGAACGTACAGCGTATCATCCAAGATGTCCGTCGGTATCATTTCGTTTGCTGGTGGCGGCGGCTTGCTACTCGCTCTGGTGCTGGTCGTCGGTCTGCTGTTGTGGAGGAGATATCGTCTCAGGAGGGACAGCATCAACAAAGGTAAGATGATGCGTGAGAATGCACAGACCACTTGCACAGGATGCTGCACCGTGACAATGTGAGAAACAGTGTGTACCATGATGTGTGCAAACCTGCAGCACAATATGGGCACTGCACCGTTTTCAAGTGTTTTGTTTTGTTTTTCAGATGTGTACAGCAGTGGAAGTGACTTGAAAGACTCCATTTTGTCCTGAAAGTGTGCACAGGCGACATGACAATGAGATTGACCATGCAGTTCATCGCTGCTGCACAGTATACTACTCAGTCTGCGAGTAAACAATAAACAATGTATCCCACCGATACCTCTATATGTATCCCACCGATACCTCTATATGTATCCCACCGATACCTTTATGTAAGGTCACAACTTTACTCACAGTGCGTAGCCTGTAGTGTGTAGTGTGTAGTGTGTAGTGTGTAGTGTGTAGCCTGTAGTGTGTAGTGTGTAGTGCGTAGCCTGTAGTGTGTAGTGTTAGGGTGAAGACTATACAGTACAGTACAGTACTGCAAAGGCGACATGTGCACAGTACGGGTACAGGCTTTGCATGGGTTCAGACACAAATGCAAGGTAGCCATGCAGCCCGGACCCGGCGCTGAGAATCCTGCATGGCCGTTGTATTTATCAAAGCACTGTAGAGTGCAGTAAGCTGAACGCCCAGCTAGCCACTGCCGGCACTGGCCTTGATGCCCCAGCTAGGGATCAGAGTGCCCAGCCAGCCACCTTGATGCCCAGCCAGCCACCTTGATGCCCAGCCAGCCACCTTGATGCCCCAGCTAGGGATCAGAGTGCCCACCTGACTAGCTGGATTTACAACCCGGGATCAGAGTGCCCAGCCAGCCACCTTGATGCCCAGTCAGACCACCTTAATTAAGAGCTGCAGGGAGAGGGGAAGCTGGGTCAGTGGTTGTAAGGACGATGTCTCAGCGACAGTGTTCTCTGTTGTGTTGCACTTGCAGCGTTTGTGAATGTTCCTGGTGACACGGCTACGCCGGGATGGACGTAAGTCATCCACTGCATGCACTACTGAGGACATCTGCTGACTCACCCCATGACCCCATGACATCATTCGCATAACCTCTACATCTAGCATCAGTGCATGTGACTAACTTCAGGGTCGATAGGCATTCACCTGTTCATTCATAGCATTGTGTATTTGATGGATTCTCCAAAAGTGAGTGAATACGCATGGCAATATACGATAATGTCATTACACAGATACAATGATGTCATTACAGATACACGGTGGTGTCATCGCTGTCTCTTGTCTGCAGATCTGACCACCTGATGGTGACTAACCAGACATCATACAATCCACACAGCGCTCGCACACCAATGGATGAAGTTCTGAACAATGAGCTAGCCCTTACGGGGTCTCGGACACCCTCGTTTGTCGTCGCTTCCTACCGACCATCTATTAGTAATTCATTTGACGGGCGGCTAGAAACAGACACACCACACACAACGCCAGCAGCAGCAGCAGCAGCAGCAATACCTCCAGTAGCAGCAGTAGCAGCAGTACCAGCAACAGCAACATTGTCATCCATTTCTGACACGTCTTTCCCACCAGCACCGGTCGACACAGGAATGCCAGCCAAGGTGAGTATCCAAGTACTGTACTCAGGGTGTCAGATTTAAATGTATGCGTACTGGTGTGGTGCATTCTAGCACTGAGGGAGTAGTAAAATACCTACTCCCTGATTCTTAGTAGTGGGGCGGTGGTGGTGAAAGTACTAGAAACGCATAAATTGTACTTGCAAGTAGTCGTGGAAACCTGTGCTCTACCCAGAGTGTGTAAGTTACTGGCCGCTGCTGTCATTGTTTTGAGAGTCTCTGTGTACATGTGTATGTTTAAAAATAAATAATTATTATTGTTTACTCTGCTGTACTCTGCCTGTGCTCTAGGCTGATTTGGAGGCAGAACTCAGCTACGCCGTACTGAACCTAGCGACTCCGAGCAATGGTGACAACACTGCAGTCCATCGCACAGACAGCGAGACCGTGGAATACGCACACATTGCGCAGTGTCTAGTAAGCGAGACCACACCGCCCAAACTGCTCAGAACGGCAACGCAGGAGAGCACCGCGGCGTCCTTCAGCGAGAGCGATGTTGAAGCCAGTCATTACTATGACCAGCCGGAAGCTTTTGAAGATGTGAACACTGGCCAGCAACAGGGCTTTGAAGAAGTAGTGCAGGACACCATCAAGGACGCCATCTAGATCACATATTTACTACATGCTTTCTTCTTTTTCTTTTTTAACTATAAGAGATACAAGTTCAATTCAGTGAAAACAAGTCTACAGGGGAAATGATTTAGTTGCAACTCCATAATATCATAGACGGCAATATCGACGAAATTATCAGGCAAAAATCCAGTTTTCAATGAATTATTTTCTATGCTGTATATCAAGAGACATTGTGTATTCTTGTGCAGCAGGTTGTAATACCGACTATAATACCTGCACGTAAATGTGCTACAAAGCCATGTCACACTGTACACACTGTACATAACTCATCTCCCTTTCCTTACACAGGAGAGCCCCTCGATAGGCTTCTGCAGCCTTAAAAATCAATCAATAACATTATTTATGTCTGTGACATGCATTCTGTTGTACAGTACAGCATCCCCTGACAGCGTTCATTGCAACCCAACTGCTTGCCAAAACGATTCTAGTATAACATTAAAAGCAGCTTATTATATTTTTCAACTGTGCAAGTGTGTCGATAGGTTTACGAGAAGTGCACCAGTTTTCTCCCCATGTTCTCGAGCACATCACGTTTTTGTTTATCTGCACCCTGAGTCTCAGAAGCATTTTTATAGTTTATCACTGATAAGATACTGTATCCATATAATTATGAATAACTTACGCTATTAATTTAATTACAGTCAGTATCGCCTATAGCGTTGGTGTTTGATTTTGAGCATTTTATCACTATAAGCGATATATTACTATGACCGATACTGCATGCAATGTATGCGAGTGGGGTGTCAAACGACTCAGCGCACCATGCACATACGCACTACATACATGTACAATGTCATGTAGCTGGCTGTAGCTCCTGACACACAAAATCAGGATTTCCTCATGATCATGGAGGCATATTTTGGCAACTTGTACAAGCAAAACTCACCAAACAACACTCACTGGACAAGTTCTTAACGAAGAAGTAACACCCTGTTCTCCTCTGACATCGCTTGATTTACATCAATCACTATAACCGATCCAATAATAGTGTAAAAAAGGTCTTTTGAAATATGAATTTGATCACTATAGGCGATATATTACTATAGACGATTATTACTATACGCGATAACTGTGTATACTTAGTTATGGCAAATGAAAATGAATTTGAGAAATTGATCACTATATCCGGTATATTACTATAGCCGCCAACCTTATAGGCGATACGGACTGTATTACGTAAAACGTTTCCTTGGAAACAAAAAGCTAACCATGATATTGTTGTTGAAGAGCCTGAAGTTTGTGCTACTACGCAGCGCTATTAATTATTCCGGAAAGTTATTTCGGCATTACGCGACAATTCTGGTGTGTGGGCCAATGATAAGCCCTAAACAATGAAATTGTGTGTGCTATCCCACACCAGCTAGAGGGTCACAAGGCTTCTTTTTACCCGGTAATTGCCTACATAGCCAACATTCAGGACTTCGATGCTACCAGGAATACACCACTCCGAAGAATGTGCAACTCCTTGTACAATCTCTGTCCAGTGCTGCAACGGCAGAGCATCACATCACGTGACATGGTTCAAAAGGTTACACTGGCTAAACTGTTACACAGTTCAAAATGACCAGCAGAGAGTGGTACCCAAAGCAGGGTTGCTTACAACCGTGTGTGCATGTACTTGCAGCTATCATGCACAGGAAGCAAACTATTGAAATACCAGAAGTGTGCACAGGTTTGTCAGGTGGTGTGAAGTTCTGCTGTAGCAGACCCCGTAGACTAGAGTTGCACACACTTTGGGGCTATGTACTCTTCATGCTACACAATGGATCATAGCTACTGGCAAGTGTAAAGCCGTGCTGCTGGTATACCGGCATGCCATAACTGTTACAGTACAATACGTGTCTCCCAAACTTGTACCATACAGCCACCCAATGCCTTTAAGGCCGATTCATACTTCATTTCGCGTACGCGAACTAGTTGAGCTCAGATCAACTTTTTCGCGATGCGACGCGTTTCCCGTACGCGAAATGAAGAATGAATCAGGCTTTAGGCTTTACATATCCTTACAGGAGCAGTTACACACACACTTGCAAATTACCAGGTACCGGGTGGTTGCCGAAAGCAACCGAATCTAACACTCTTTAAAGCTGAGGTTTGAAAATCAAAAATATACAATCTGCGTGCTATTTTGTGCAAAATGAACCAATGAACAAAGCTGGGTAACTGGTGGCTAGTCTATCGTTTGATGCGCAGCACTACGTGTACAGTCATGTACAGGAGTTGACATGGAAGTATCGTGATAATGTCAAGGGAAAGGAGCTAAAGCACGGCTCTCAGTTCTTTTCATGGAATTTATTAACAAAATATAGTGTTCCTAGCATGCATGCACTGCACAGACACTGGTGCTACCATAATGATCGCATTGGCTCCGGATTACTCATGTAGGACATTAGAATAGAAGATGATGCCAGCCTGAAGCGGAACGAACGAGAGGAGAAGCAAAAACACACATCATATGTTAAGGTATGGAAGGGCTGTGCGGACCCTGTATGTACCCTACCCTATGTGTACCAATGCACACAGAAAGAGGCACAAGCACACTCGGGTGGCATGGATTCTCAGCAACATTAGTGGTAAAGTATGTTCGACCAGTAGCCACACGTGAACACACGCATGTATGTCCTAGCATGCACATGCACACTTGTGCGTGTACACCACCACATATACACACACACACATACACACACACAGCTACACTGGCAACAGCAACAGCAGCACCACCACCGCCACCACCACCAACACGAGCAGCAGCAGCAGTAGCAGCAGCAATGGCATTTTTATTCAATTTCGCTGTTCACCTTTTAAATTCTCTGCTCTCCTTGCATTAATATCATCATTGCTTTGTGCGTTCAAAAAAACACCTTTTAGCAGCAGAAGGGGCAGCAGCAGCAGAAGGGGCAGCAGCAGCAGCAGCAGCAGCAGCAGCAGCACCAGCAGCAGCAGCAGCATAATGCTAAGGATAAGTAACTACTTACATGAAACCACTGAAGCCATGCTTGGTATCCTCACTAGAGCGTGCGTTAGCGTATGCCATACAGCAACAGAAGAGGGACGCCCACGATGCCCACTTCATCTACCAGTACACACAACAAAATAGTAAACACAGACACACAGCGGTCTACAGACAGTACTAGTAGAGCACAAGCAGCCATTGATAACGGACTACCGGGTATTGTTGACAAAATAAAGAATTGGCTAGTAGTGCGGTGTGAATTGAGGGTCACTTGAAGTCTAGAAGATTCAATTTCACCCCCCCCCCCCCCTTCTCTCTCTCTCTGAGTAGCAGTAGCTTGTTTTCTGGTTATGGTTTGAGACAAAACCTGGTCCAGGCATATTCCATCACATAAATAGTGCTCTACTCGGAGAGAGTTGTAGTTGTTCGTGAGAGTGCTCGATGCACCTAGGTGCCGAGCCTAGTAGCCTAGTAATCACGCCTTCTGGAAATTGTAATCAAGTTGCTGTCTGATGGCCGGTAAAACCCGTGAAACTCAGAGTTACAGCAGAAACGTTTCGATTCCTTCTTTCAAGTGTGTGTAAATAGTGCAATAGATGTGATGCGGACCTGCACGAAAGTCCCGTACGGACACTGCTACGGTAATGTCACATTGGGGTTCAAATGCATCTGCTGCCCAGAACGTCAAAAGAACTCTCTCAGAACACAGTGCACACATGTATGCTACAGTCCATTTCAAAACTATAGACGCGTACCAAGGCAAAAACCGTTATGCCAGCATCTATACCACATAAAATCTGTGATCACTTTGTGCATAAAGTTTTCCAAATTGGGCGTCTGTTATCCAATCGTTTAGAAACTATATGAGAGTAATTGTGGAGCGGACCTGAGCAATATTCCGAAAACTATTCTCAAAAAGCTCCAGCCAAATTTGAAATATTTTGAAAACCCTACGCGTCTATAGTTTTGAAATGGACTGTAGTAGCCTGAGCAGTGTCCTGCACAGGCTCCAAGTCTAAAAGACTGAAACTGTGCATCAGTTACTGTAATGCAAACTACATGACACTGTATCACAATGGCTATTTTTTAGACCGTTCCCTTTCTACTACTTCCTGGTGGCTACACTGCTGCTCAGTGGTCAAGTAACTGTGCTTCATCAGTCTCACAACGACTTCAGACTAGAGAAAGCAGTACACGTACATGTACTGACTCAAATCAAGAAGAATACAATCAGTCACGTAAACCAGAGAGGTTCCACTTCCAGGCTGTCCAGTCAATCAGTCATGCATTGTACTCACAGGGAGCATGATTACATTATGTAGCATTACAGACACTAGTTCGTACAGGAAGAGTAAAATTTTCACCCCTCATGATCATCCCACATTTCATAACAATGCATTCTCGGCTCTGCAACGTGCCTCAAAAGCTTCACAAGAAACTGAACAAGTAGTGTCATCCCCAACCATTCCACACAGAAATCAGCAGTGTGGGCCACCAGCTACCTGCTTCCCTGGCACATTCGAGACACTCACCCTCAACATAAGTCCCATCATGCTCAAAGCCATGGCGAAGAAATTCATGTATTCAGAGGTCGGGTCCACGCGGCTGTTCAAGTCAGAGCGCTTGAAGCGTCTAACCCTATCGGGGCGACGAGGGTCAACTTCTACATCTGGCATATTAGCAACTACTACTAGTACTAGTATTCAGTATTACTACTACTAAGTACTAGTATTTCAGGCAACGAGAGGATCGTCGCCTTATTTCTAAAATTGCAAAATCAATCACTGAGTGAATCAGATCAATGTTCAAAGAAGTTTTTTTACTCCAACATGCAACAGCATAGCACGCGCACATGCAACAGCTGACGTCACAAGAAACAAATCCACGCGGCGGCGCTAAAGTATTTGGTACGGGAAAATCGCACTACGCATGAAGCGCGGCTGCGGCTAGTGCAGTGACGACTGCCTGAGTGACACCAGCTCGAGTCAAGACTTTTTGTAGGCTAGGCCTTGGCCAAAATCATCGATCTTGAACTGGCTTGATGAACACATTACAGTTGAAAGATACTGTGACGAGAGACGAGGAAAGACTGTCCTCTGCTGGAAAAGGGGGCAAGCAGGAGAGACGCCCGAACGAGCTGATCGCGTTGTGCTAGTTAACCCCTGCAGTAGTGGTGGTGGTGTTGTTTTGGAGAGGCGGGCAAGATGGACGCGACCAGGATGGCCCGGGACAAGATTCCCGAAACCAATATGAACAAGCAGCACGACATGCTAGTGGACAACGATAAGACGTCACTTGGTGTTCTAAGAAGACTGGGTCTGGAGGGTCGCAAGGAGGCTGGCCATGACTACAATCCAGCGTTGCATGGAACATTAGCTGGCAGTACTGTGTACGATCATAGGAGTAAGTGATGCAGACACACACACACACACACACACACACACACACACACACACACACACACACACACACACACACACACACACACACACACACACACACACACACACACACACACACACACACACACACACACACACACACACACACACACACACACACACACACACACACACACACACACACACACACACACACACACACACACACACACACACACACACACACACACACACACACACACACACACACACACACACACACACACACACACACACACACACACACACACACACACACACACACACACACACGCATACACACACACACACACAAACACGTGCATGCATGGACACACACACACGTACGCATACACACGCGCACACGCATATACATACACACACGCGCACACACGCGCACACACACACACACACACACACGCACACATTCCCTCGCAGACACACACACACACACAGATACACAGATACGGGTGCGCCTGTACCCCGGAAGCTAACCGTTTGCAGCATGCATTTTGAAAGTGTATACGTCAAACATCACTGTAACCCGGTGGACCTCATGTGTATGTTCATGTGTATGTTCATGTGTATGTTCATGTGTATGTTCATGTGTATTCCATGGTTACGGGGTAACTGTTTCCCCTGCCCCCCCCCCCCCCACACACACACTATATTGACATGGCTAGAACCCTGGTATGTGTCACCTTGCAGGGTGCACGACCATTTATGCAAAGCTGGCACCAAGGTGTGTACGTTGTAGGGAACTTGGCCTGCAAAACCTAATGCTGTGCTGTGTGTGTGTGTGTGCTGCAGAAATGTACGTCAGTCAGGACGAGATGGCCCGGTGGCGAGTGCCGATCGCCTTCCGTGACTTCTGTGCGCACAAGTACATTGAGTACATGAAGTGCGTCAAGGACACGTACCACTGTCCGTGGAAGTGCTGGGACGTTCACCACGAGATGGAACACTGCATGACACAAGAGTAAGTCGCCAATCACGCACACACATACACACACTTTTTCCTAGTGCGTGCTTGTGGCATTGAAGCCATCACTGCTGCCCAGTGCAGCCCCTACTCAGTAGCTGTTTGTTTTTGTCCACATAATTATTTATTTTACGAGTTGGGTTTGTGAATAATAGTAAAACACACACACGCGCACACACGCACATACACACACACAAACACACACACACACACACACGCGCGTGCGTACACCCACACACACGCACACGCATACACCCACACATGCGTGCACACATGCACACACACACGCGCGTGCGCACATGCATGCCTACCGTGTACATGTATCATGCATCACAGTTTACACGCTCCGTGCATTGGCTAAGTACATGTAGTGTATGACTTCACTGCTGGCATTGGCTAAGTACATGATTGTAGTGTATGACTTCACTGCTGGCATTGGGTGTCTGCATATTCATACATGTTCACATGAGTCTAGTGTGTAGATTGCCACCTTTGTTTGTTTTTTGTTGGAGGGGGGGGGGGGGGGGGGGGGGGGGGGGAGGGGGGCTTGTACCATATTTGATAGGCACATCAGCTCTATTACACGTGTGGGTATAACCACACACAGTTCATGACGCTGTATCCAGAGTTGGGATCACAATGTATGTGTGGTTGTAGAGGACTTGCCCTGCACAGCCTGATGGCAGGAGAGCAATGAATAACCGTTATGCCCCATTTTAGAGAGCCGCTTTATGATGTGTGTGCGTGTGTTCTTTGTTGTCTTGCGCGATAGGAATGCCGAGCGTATTGTCGCAGCACGGAAATTCCGAGGTGAACTGTAAAGTTGAGCTGAGTATAGCAGTGTAGAGTGTAGACACACATTCTACTCTTCATGTATGTTATCAGTAGTCCGCCCTCTAAGTCCCTACATCTCAGTCCTGCTCTGCTCCGGTTGGTCATGTCTGTGCAGCCACAGTAGCTGTACCGCTTGTCTTCATGAGCATAGCAATGTCATCACGTTATCGTAATATCATACTGTTACAGCGTTGGTGTTAGACGTACCCCAGGTAGCGTTATATTCTAGTCCCTGGGATCTGTCAAAGGTGTGTGTGTGTGTGTGTGTGTGTGTGAGAGAGAGAGAGAGAGAGAGAGAGAGAGAGTGTGTGTGTGGTGTGTGTGTGTGTGTATGTGTGTGTACGTTTTTTTGCCAATTACATGTTTATAGCTTCAGTATGCTATTATTATCATTATCATAATTATTGCATGCGTTGCTGATTTGCCAAGCCGGTACCTTCATCAAACAACTGAAGCGTGCAGGAGTTTTGATTCCATGTTATGATGCGTCTTCAAATGATCAACTACGCCCAATCACATAATTATTAAAATAAGTTGGTTAGCTGAGAAGTGGTTTGCCAATGATTTCCAGGTTACTCCACTACTCCACACAACTGGAGAACATACATCGGTCTCATGGCATGGATGGGGTATGTGATACTTCAAAAAGTATGTTAGCTACACGCACACACACGGAATGCACACACTAATATGCTGCACATGCAGCTCCAGAAGACTGTCCAAGCAACAGAGCGGCGTAGAACCGTGTACCCTAGACTCTTTCTTGCTGCTGCCATGTCCCTTACCAGTACAGACAGTTTGACATTTAGCATGTCAGTAGTCTTGGTGAACCTCAGATCGAACACAGAGTCACAAATTTGGCAAAAGAAGGATCCACGAGCAGCAAATCGAACCCAGCACCCCTGTCTTTCTGGCACAGTGCCCTGCCAATTAGGCCACCTGGGATCACACACACCAGGGTTCTAGGCAAAGAGGGGAAGTCGGGGATTCGCCATACGTTGCATTTAGCGTGGCAAGACTATGGGAAAGGGAAAAATAGGTTACGGGGTAACTGTTTCCCATGCCCCCCCCCCCCCTCCCCTACTATTTTGACCTGGCTAGAACCCTGCACGCCATTGGTTCCTTCTTGCTAAGTTGCTACACAAACATTACAAGCCGAAGTGGGTGTTGTTGTCATGGTAATGCTTGAATACTGCAGCTAATGTCACGACTAATATACCATCAGAAAACTCTTTAGAGTTCGGAAATATAAATCTGAATGACAGAAACTACTTCTAAAACTAATAAAAAAAATAGTAAAAACCGACTCTCTAGTTCACACAACATAATCATTACGTACATGTAGCAGCATTGGATACACGTACCGATCTAAATAGGTCTACATTATGCGTACTCTTGTAAAGAAAAGATTGCATGAGTGCACAATGCATTGTAATGGTGTGCAGTCAGTGATAGTGGCATGAATCTTGTGCTGGAGGTAGTCATGGTGATAATAGTGGCCAAGCAATGCAAGCGTGATAGGGAGAGAGGCAAACAACTGCTTGTCCAGGCGACACCGTCCTCAATTGGACAAGCAACTAGACATTGAAAAATGGGGCGGAAACACAACATACTGGCTGTCATGCGAAAGTCCGAGCAAAAAAATGATGCACACACATATCTTTGTAGTCTGGGATATTTGCATGCATGTACTAGCTAGTCGCGAACGTGATCGTGGAAACATCCTATTCACAGCAGGAATCACAGACACATTCATATTGGCCATGGTGCACTAGAACTAGGAGGAAGAGAAAAAGGGGAAAAAAAGAATAAGAATGAGATCCCTAGAAATGAAATGGTGGTGTTGGCATGTACACACTGTAAGGAACACATTAGTCACGGTGATGTCACGGTGATGTCACGGTGATGTCATGGTGATGTCACGTGATGTTTGGTGAATAATCAGAGCCGAGGGAGTGGGTGAGAAGGAGCGGGGTTCGGACATCACATCGTGTGTATAACACGCAGTGAATGCTCTCCCCTCCCCGAGCTACACCACATGCAACGGCTGATTAGACTCCACGCGCACACACCGGCTCTGACAAGGAAAGTGGAAGGCATGCGTACAGGCACAGTGAAAAATGTGTCGCTATTGCATGGTGCCGGCATTACGCTCAGTTACCATGGCTACAGGTAATAGCGTTGCAGTGTATGTAGCTAGTGGTAATAAGCGGTCAGGCTGCTGCTGCTGCTGCTCGCCAGGTCTACAGCACAATCATGGGATCACTGAGCTAGAGAAAGAGTACAGGGTACTCCTTGCCGTCCCCGGATGGCTGTGCATTGCCGTTGAGCGTGGAAACCTCACCCATCGACGACTGCTGTCCGTTGGACGCTTTCGGTGTGTTGTTGCTGCGGACATGGGCACAGTGAGTAAGACAATGACAGTGAATGGAACATACACATACACCAACGTGACCACTGGACCGTGACCAACGTGACCACTGAACCGTGACCAACACCACTGAAACCGTGACCAACGTGACCACTGAACACTCAGGGGCGTAGGAGCTGGTGCGGCAAGTGCGGCCAAAGCTGCACCAATGAGTGAATACTTTCATCTTGGGATTTTTGAAGCAATGGAATATGGGCTATTTGGACCCCATTTCCCTACAATTTCCCCGCGCGAGGACCCCCGCACCCTCCACCCATTCATGGCCGCACCAACGTCGAATACCTTCAGACGCCCCTGACACCAACACCAACGCCACTGAACGCCACTGAACGCCACTGAATGCCACTGAACGCCACTGAACACCACTGAACGCCACTGAACACCACTGAACGCCACTGAACGCCACTGAACACCACTGAACACCACTGAACGCCACTGAACACCACTGAACACCACTGAACACCACTGAACACCACCAAGGACACAGCGAGTAAGACACAGCGACAGTGCATGGCACAAACACGTACACACCGGCACAAACACGTACACACCGGCACAAACACGTACACACCGGCACAAAAGCAGCTACGAGTGTGGCACGCGTTTTTCAAGCTCGTAGCTTTTCGTTTTTTTGGACATCCCAGCCGGCATCAGGCCGGACTGGAGATAGCTAGGTGGGTAGTAGTAGTAGTAGAAATAGTGTAGGATAGTCTAGATAGTTAGGTAGGGCCAGGCAGGAACCCTTCGCCATGGGCGAGCTCTCTGCTGAGGCCGTGGCGAAGCTGCTTTGCACCCTCCCGGGGATTGAGCAGGGTCTCCTTGCAGTGATGCAAACGCTGGCAAAGTTCGCGACCGAGTCTGCTGATCGCGAAGCGCGTATGAAACGCAAAATTGGTGAGCTGGCAGCGGAAGTAAAAGATTTGAAGGAAGAGTTAGTTGTTTCAAAAAACTCCGCCATTGCCTGGATGCAGTCGAAGACGACGAGAAACAGCTCACCAGTTCAAGCAGACGTACATCGTACGCAAAGTAGTACCGGTAGTACCCGTGCCAGCAAACGCAGCGCCAAGCAAGCTGCAGCTCACATGGAACCCAGCAGCACCGTATCACGTACTGGCGTCACAAGCGCGGAACGAAAGCCCCACGGCCCCCAGGCCCAGGGAAGCGGTGGCTTGGCAAAGGCAGAGTGTTCTGAGTCACAGCCCAAGACAGATGTGACAGAGTCCAAGTCTCAGACAGATGTGACAGAGTCCAACAGCAAGCCAATCTTCCATGTTATCGAGGATGACTCATGGAAGCTTGTCTCCTCAGAACCACCCAAGAACAAGCGTGCCGTAGTGTACGTGGGCAATATCGCCACAGATAGCACTGAGAGCCACTTCAGGCAATTAATCAAAACCAGGAGTGAGTTTCTGGGCGCCTCTATTCCTGTCCACACCTGCAGTGTATGTCAGAAAGTGGGCGTGCTTCCGCCAGAGTGACCATCGATGCCACTTCATTCTCCACAGTTACAGCGCCCAACTTCTGGCCAAGACCCCTATACTGCAGGCCATGGAGGTTCTCTGAAACCAGCCCTGAGGGCAGCACCAGCAGTCGCTGCCACAGTAGCAGAAACAGCACCTCTGCCAGTGTTCTGACTAAACAGCAACAGCAAAAACAGCAGCAGGGCTCAACCACCTCCCCGCCGCCGCCGCCGCCACCACCGCCGCCACCACCACCGGCAGACATCATCTCCACTCCACTGTCTGGTGGCCAAAAACGGAGAAACTCCCACCTCTCCCCACCAGAGGCTGGAGACCTGAAGAGATCAAACGGATCTGCGCCACAACATGACCTACATGGTCACCAATGAAGCGCTTCCTCAGGCTCCTACTCACCAATGCTTTTGGCCTAAAGTCAAAGCTTGGTGAACTTGCACATGTTGCAAAGTGCTCCTCACCTGATGTCATCGCTGTTACGGAGACAAAATTCTCAACCGCAAAGGTCACTGACAGTGAGGTCTGTCTGTCCGGATACGCTCCCCCAATCCGACATGACAGAAACGCTCATGGAGGCGGAGTTGCCATCTGGGTGAAATCAAACATGGCCTTCCAGCACCTGGACCGGTTCAGCACGGAACACCACGAAGTGATATGGATATCTGTATCAACAGCTAGCCGGTCCAAGATTGTTATCTGTGCACTCTACCGATCAGGCTCCACAGCCGGGACAGACACCGAGCTGATCGAATACCTTGATACCCACCTAGATGAGGCCCGCAGCCACGGTGACTATGTTATCCTCGCAGGGGACTTCAATGTCCACAATGCAGCATGGCTAGGGAGCACCAAGACTACCTCGGCAGGAGAAGCAGCCGAGGAACTCTGCTATGTTCATGGCCTGGAGCAACATGTCAACATCCCCACACGTGGAGACAACACCCTGGACCTTGTGATGTCTGACTTCAGTGAACCGGTTCAGGTGAAATGCCATGCCCCACTGGGGTCCTCTGACCACGCTGTCCTCACCATGGACTTCCCTATCTCTGCGCTCCGTGAACCAAAAACCACACGCACTGTCTGGCGGTACAACCAAGCAGACTGGAACCGCCTCTGTCACTTTTTCCTAGCCTATGACTGGTCAACTGCCTTCACCACCAGCGCTGATGAGTCGTGCGCCAACATCACCGAAGTTATCCTCCAGGGTATGTCACGTTTCATCCCATCCCGGCAACTCGCATCCCGGCCGACGGATCCAGCTTGGTGGACCCCTGAGTGCACGGATGCCATAAAAGCAAAAGAGAGGGCTTGGGCTACTGCCAGACAGCAGAAGTCAACAGCAGCGCGGCAGACAGCCTCAGCAGCCACTCTACGTTGTAATGACATCCTCCAGCATGCCAAGGTGGCCCGCCTGGCTACCCTGCGTACTAAGCTCTCCAAAGCTAGCCTGAGTGACCGCTCGTGGTGGTCTACCATCAAGCAAGCAGGTGGCAGCAGCAGAAACACGTCCATCCCAACTCTTACGCCGCAGCCTGGTTTGGAATGCGTATCGAATGCCGAAAAAGCTGAGTGTTTTGGGCAGTATTTCGCCTCAAAGTGCAGCCTGGGCGCCGACGACTTCCCCGCCAACCAACCAGCGACTGATTTCCCCCACGTTGCTCAACGCACGGCTGAAAAGCTCTCAACGGTTCGGTTCCGCCCTGCCACTGTCAAGAGAGAACTCCGGCGCCTAAATGCATCGAAAGCTACTGGACCGGATTGCATTCCCGCGCGAGTTCTGAAGATGTGTGCCGACCCCCTAAGTAAGCCACTCTCCAAACTGTTCTCACTTAGCTTCTACAGCATGGTTATGCCGACATCCTGGAAGACAGCTAGAGTCACACCCATTCACAAGAAGAAATCCAAGAACCTGCCTCAACACTACAGACCTGTGTCTCTGCTGTCTATCATATCCAAAGTGATGGAAACAATTGTCAATCGTCAGATAACCAATTTCGTGGAGTCCCACAATGTCATCTCTGCGAAACAGTTCGGGTTCAGAAAGGGCCTGAGCACAGCCGACGTCTTAACCAAGCTCCACTGTGAATGGTCCCGAGCAGCCGGCCTAGGAGGAGCCGCCCATGTTTTGGCGATAGACATAGCAGGCGCCTTTGATAAAGTCAGCCATGCTGGCCTGCTGCATAAGGCTTCCGTGTACGGTCTAGACGGCCCGCTTCTCGGATGGCTGGAAAGCTACCTGCACAACCGGCGCCTGCAGGCTGTTGTGGGCGGCCAAGAGTCCTCCCTGCACCATATCCAAGCAGGGGTACCACAAGGTAGCATCCTTGGACCAACGTTATTCTTCCTGTACGTAAATGACTGCGAGGACACCTTGCCTGCTAGTGCTGAGCTTGCCACGTATGCAGATGACACGACACTGTATCAGTGCATCTCTGCCACCGCCAGCATATCCGACTCTGCAGCACAACTCCAGGAAGCAGTGGACGCCGTCTCCAACTGGGGTTCCAAGTGGAAGGTCACCTTCGAGCCATCCAAATCTCAGGCCCTCATCATCGACCACCGCAAGCCTCCCCCAGCGTTCCCACCAGTGCTCTTCAATGGAGTGACTGTTCCTGAAGAGAAGGAAATTAAAGGGGAAGTCCGGTGAAAAATTTAAATTTCAGGTTCGGTAGAGTTTCGGGCGCTGAGTCGAATGGTGTTGGTCCCACGTGTCTCCGACAAAGCGTTCTCGAGATATTTCCGTTTGAAAAACTGAGTTTCGGGGGCTGCGCCATGACGTCATGCGGCCGCGCCACACCCTCTGCAACGTCATAGCGTGCAGCTAGGTCAAAAGGAGTGCGTGAAAGCAATAGTGTCAGTGCTATTTCAAATGATTTGGCGACAGATAGTTTGGTGCAAGCGACCCCGAAGACCTGTAACTCCTTGTGAGAGTGAGGATGCAGCCATGGCTGACCTTCATGAGTTCGGTCTGGGGCTGAGAACCTCGGTATTCAGCTGAAGAAATGGCCACGCGGGCCGGTCAAGAGTGAGCGCTACTGAGTTTCCGACTGATGAAGAAGCAGCAGCTATTGCAGACGAGGCTGATCAGATCGCTGGAGAGCAGGGTCGCCAAAATGGAGAAGAGTGATGCGAGTGCTCTAAATGTTGTTCCATACCGATTAGATTCGCTTAGACTCCAGTAGCCTGCCACATGGTGATGTTTTGGTGCGAACTAACTTACTTGGAATATTTCGGACTACTCAATTGGAGAACAGTGCAGGCTCTTTGAACCACGGGCACGACTCTTCGCTCGCAACGCTATGGAATCTGAAAGTTCTAGGTCCGGGAGCTGTTCGCTGTTTTGTCACTTGTCACGGTTGTGCACTCATCGCTGTAACAGAAAATAATGAGGCGGGTGCGGAAAACTAAAATTTTCTTTCTCAAAGCACAACCACCGGCACCGGCAAGGAGAAACGCACGTTCTCTGACTACATCATACATGA